ATGGTGAGGGTTAGTGTTGGGGGGGGGAGTGGGATGGGAGATGCGCTTGGTGTTTTTTCCCCCCTGAATTTAGAATTTTTATATCTCTGCGTCTGTGGTGTTAAAGAAGTTGGACGCTTCGCTGTTGCACGTAGGAGACCTCGGGCGGGGAGAAATTTTGATTGAGTATCCCAGTCTTTCTGCTGGATTGTTTTATCCCTTTCAGCCTGGGTTGGCCCTGACAGGCAAAGTTGCCGGCTTGCCTCCTAGATGAGATCTAAATTGTGTCGATGGGGGCATAAAACACTAATAAGGAAAAAAAAAAAGGGGAGGGGGTAATTTATAGTTTAAAAACATCTCTTGCTTTCACTGGGAAAATAAAAGTCAAATGAGACAGGGGTGGACCCAGAGCAACTTACCTGGATAAAAACCGTCACAGATGGGAGATAGGGAAACGCCAGGATAGTATAGTTTGTCTTTTTTAGAGCATCTGTGTGGAGAGATGGAAGGAGTATATATATATAGGCCCATTCCACGAGCGGTCCACCAAAATGCAAAAAGATGAAATTGATGAAATCAACTCAGTACTAAGTGAAATATTCAGCAGAAAAAGTTTATTGGTGTAGTTCTGAACTCAAAAATGGTAGAAACCATCCCTTTCATATAAGAAATGCATGGTGAAAAATATATCTTGCTTCAGTTTCAACTATGGCACTTTATAGTGATGAGTTATTAACGTGCCATAGCTGATCGCTCATATATAGAGTTATTTACTCTTACACGTCATGTTATGCCGTTTTGCTAGCGCAGTGGCGGTATATCCCTCTCCTCCTTGTCTCCTTACTTCTCCTCCTCCAGGCATGGTGATCCTCGGTGCCAGTATAGCCATGCAGCTGGGCCATCAGACGGGATGGCTCTTCTTTGAAAACTTGGCGGCCTTTTTCCTATTTTACGTTGCGCATTGGCAGACGTACGTCTGTGGGACTCTGAAGTTTGGCAAGTAAGTCGTGTAGTAGATAGGCAGACCTATGTCTGTGGGACTCTGAAGTTCAGACCTATGTCTGTGGGACTCTGAAGTTTGGCAAGTAAGTCGTGTAGTAGATAGGCAGACCTATGTCTGTGGGACTCTGAAGTTTGGCAAGTAAGTCGTGTAGTAGATAGGCAGGCCTATATCCAGTATGAATGAGACAGTGGATGAAGTTTTAAAAATCAAAAGGGAAATTATGTCAGAGGTGCGGTGCTGATTTTGAGGTCTGAAATTGTCGGGACTTTGCGTCGAACCTCCAGCCGTTGGTGGTGAAGTCTTGATACATACAGGATGTATCTGACAATATCATGTCTGGTAAAATAAAGGTCTTTGTGCATTTGTTTCCACTGGGTCCAAAAAGTTCAGGATATTTTTTTCCGTAGCCAGTTGGCATCGCTGATGAGTGTAGAGAAAAGTGGGATTTTTTCCGTAGCCAGTTGGCATCGCTGATGAGTATGAGAAAAGTGGGAGGAGAAAAAGTGAAATGAGGGAGAAGGAGTGAGAAGGGGAAGGGGAGAAGAAAGAATAAATGGAAAAGGAGGACAGAGGGACAGGAGGAGAGGTAGTAACTAAGATTGAGAAAGAATCTGGAGATTAGAAGAAGAAAAAATGAGAAGGGGGAAGAGTAGGTGAAAGAGGTGAAGGTAAAGACAAAATGGAAAGAATGGGAAAGAAATGGTGGTGAAGAAAACATAGGAAGGGGAAGGAGGAGGAGCTGGAGAAAAAGAGGAGAGAAAGAGGCTGAACTGGAGCTGAATGAGGAGAAAGAAGGAGACATGTAAAAGGAAGAGAGAAAAAATGAAATGAAGAGGTGAAAAGAGGAGGAGAGGCAGAAGAAAGAATTCTGAAAAAAGGAGAAGGAAAGAATGGAGAGGAGGAGAAAAGGAATAAAGAGATGAGAAGCAGAATGAGTGAAAAGAAGAGGAGGAAAGGATAAGAATGAGTTTTAAACAAGAGGAGAAAAGGAGAAAAATGAGTCCAAAAAAAAAGAGGAGAAAAGGAGGAGGAGGAGAACGAGACATTGCAAGAGGACAGGATGAGGAGGAGAATGGAAGAAAAGAGGACATGTTGAGTAAATCCGTTCGTCTCTATCTATCTCCAGGATCGACGTGACAGAAGGGCAGTTTGCGGTGATAGGAATCTACTTTCTCACTGCTCTCTTTGGGCCGCAGATCTGGTCTTATCAGGTAAAAACTTGGGGGGGGGGGGCATTGGGAAACTGTTCATTCCTTTAGACTTTAGAGAAGATGTTTCTATTTTTTTAAATTTCTTTTTTTTTTAATTCTTGGGAGGGGGCGGGGGGATTTTTTTTTTGCTGCTGTTTTGTTTGGATGTTTGTTTTAGTTCTAGTAAGAGTTTTATGGCATAATGTATTCATATAAAGGAATAAAGGTTAGAGGTGTCACTTGAGAGTAATAACATTCAATGAAAAGGAGAAGTGTATGGCTATAGTTTGATTGATAGGAAAGAAGGATCGAACCACACCAGAGTTTGTCCACTCAGTGAGTATTTGTGTATGTGTGTGTGTGTGTATTGGTGTGTGTGTGTGTGTGTGAGAAAGAGAGAGATTTCGCTGTATGTATGTATGCTAGATTGTATACTCAAACAATGAAGTAAATGGATAATCCATCAGCACTCTAGTGTGGTTTGCTCCTTCTTTCCTGTCAGACATCTATCGTCCTTATCTCTTCTCCCTTCTATTATTTGTACGTTATATTCTAGTTACGCCTCCAAGTCTTCGGCATTTGTATGACCTGATTGTGTTGCAAGTGCTGTAAAACTCTTACCTAAAAAATATGAAGTTGTTATTGTTATTGTTGTTGTGTGTGTGTGTGGTAGCCTATCCGTTTGAAATGTTGACAATGACAATGACGATGACAATCTTTATTCATCTCGCCTCCCTTGTTGTTGTTGTTGTTGTTGTTGTTGTTGTTGTTGTTGTTGTTGTTGTTGTTGTTGTCGACGATCCAGCAACAGCTGGGCCCTCGCCCTTGTGTCCACTGCCATGTCGTGATAAGTACAGGTTTGCTGCAGCTGCTGTTATGTTCCACAGAATGTGTAAAAATATAAAGTAATAGCCATGACTTTTCCCCTCACTTTGTGGGTGGTTGGCAGGTGCTCTGGTGTGGTTTGCTGCTTGTTTCCTATCAAACATCTATTTTCCTCATCTCCCCTCCTTCTATTTTGTGTTTGTTACACTCTCTTGTAACACCTCTAATCTTCCGCACTTATATAACCTTGTGCCGTTGCGAGCGCCGTAAAACCTCTACTAAAACTAAAATATGACTAAAACTAAAACTGAAATATGAAGTAATAGCCATCACTTTTCCCTCCTTTTCCCTCCTTTTCCCTCCTTTTCCCTCCTTTTCCCTCCTTTTCCCTCCCTCCCTCCTTCTTTCCCTCCCTCTCTCCCTCCCTCCCTCCCTCCTTCCCTCCCTCCCTCCCTCCTCAGTTGCCAGTTCTGTCGCTGCAGCTCAAGTTTGTGCCCATCATCTTCAGCCTGTTTGGCGCGGCCCTGCAGGTCTCCTGCGCTTTCCAGGTCATCTTCATGCAGGGAGGGGTAGGCAAAAACGGATCCACCGTCGCTGTGAGTACCATGTTGCTGGTTCGATTTCAAAAAAAAAAAAAAAAAAGAAAAAAGGAAGTGTAATTATGTGGGTGGTTGGCGGGTGCTCTGATGTGGTTTGCTTCTTCTTTCCTATCGAACATCTATCGTCCTTGTCTCCCCTTCTTCTTTTTTATGTTTGTTACTCTCTTGTAGCACCTCTAATCTTGTGGCACTCATAATATGACCTTATGCAGTTGGGAGCGCCGTAAATCCTCTACTAAAAAAACTTTTTTGTGTTTGTTACTCTCTTGTAACACCTCTAATCTTCGTCACTTATATGACCTAACTGTGTTGCAAGTGCCGTGAAACACTTACTAAAACTAAACTCTAATCTTCGGTACTTGTTTGATCTTATTGTGTTGCAACGAAAACGATGTAAGACTAACCGCAAAACCATGGTCTCCGCTCCCCAGGGAACCAGCACGGTGTTCCCCGTCCTCCCCACGACGGTCGTGGTACTGATAGCGGTGGTTATACAGCAGAAGTCGCCGTCCCTAGTGTTTGAGAACCACCCGTGTCTCTACCTGCTGGCGTTTGGCTTGCTGGCCGCCAAAGTGACCAACCGGCTAGTGGTGAGTGGCGACAGCGACTGTGATATGTTATATATATATATGTGAGGCAGCGTGGTGGAATCAGGCTCTCGTCAATTTTTGGGCACATGGAGTTATTGGTATCATCTTAAAGCTTGTTCACTTGTCTTTTTTTTTGGATGAAAAAAATATCCATTTATCTTGAATACAAGTTGAGATATTTGCGAATGAAGGAGGTGGGGGTCACCTGTTTTCAGAGGTAAAATTAGGGAAAAAATGGCCGCCAAAGAGTAGTTATTTCCTTAGCTTATGAGTTCGTGGTAACTGAAAATTTAGATCTTTTGTGCCTTCAATCAACGTTTTTCAGAAAAATCCACACAGAAATGAGTTTTTTAACGGGCATGAAAGGTGTTGTGCCAAAAAACAAAAATTTGATAAAAATTCACAAACCTGCGGAAAAATGCAAGTTTCTTCACTTCGTTTATTTTGACGAGAGCCTGATTCCACCACGCTGCCTCATCACATATTGTGATATGTTATATATACATATTGCTGGCCAGTTCGCTACCTCAGAATGACAGAATGACAAAGTTCTGTCTGATGATATTTTTGGCCGTTTTGAGTCACTATGACCGTGAGGTCAGAAACCAAATGTATTACAAAGTTCTGTCTGATATTTTTGGCCGTTTTGAGTGACTATGACCGTGAGGTCAGAAACCAAATGTTCTAACTATCCGCTCTATCAGAATCGTAATTTTATTTCGAGTTTTTTCCAGATGTTCAAGGAATTGCCTTTAAAGAAAGCTTGACATGTTGTAAAACTCAAAAAATTTGCGTCCAATTTCTCCTAACTTGGTACTGTACAGACAGAACTTTGAGGTAGCGAATTGCTGAGATGTGCTGGTTGTACGCTCCAGAATTTCGAAGGTGCGGGACCAATACGCGCCTCTAATGAACGGAAACTTCACTTGTTTATAATGGCGTCTTAAAAGACGGACTTTCCCAAGATTAGAACTCTGTGTGGATGAAACAAAGCATTTTGGAAAAATCGGGGAAAGCAGTTTGCGGGGATTTTTTAAAGTTAGGTCCTAGCCACATTGATGCTGTGGACGCCTGCAAAGTTTCAAAGCTGTGGGTTCAGTAATAAGGGAGGAGTTTGTGCACAAAGCCTCCCAAGTCCACTTTTGTATATATAGATTTATGTTACAAGTGCCAACTGACCCCCC